TGTGATCTGAAAAGATATATGGTATGATTTCTATTTTTTTAAAATATTGTTTGAGACATGCTTTGTGTCCTAGGATATTGTCAATCTTAGAGAATGACCCATTAGCTGATGGGAAGAACGTATATTCCGTGGTTTTGGGGTAGAATGTCCAGTAAATGTCAGTCAGGTCCATTTGTTCTAGGGTTCTGCTTAAGTCCATTATTTCTTTGTTGATTTTCTGTTTGGAGGATCTGTCCTGTGCTGTCAGTGGGGTTTAAAGTCTCCAACTATTATGGTGTTGTTGTTTATCCATTTGTTTAGATCCAGTAGAGTTTGATTTATGAATCTGGGTGCACATAGGTTGGGTGCATATATTTTTAGAATTTTTATGTTCTCTTGTTGGACTGTACCCTTCACCATTATATAGTGACCTTCTTTGTCTTCTATTACTTTTGTTGATTTAAAAACTAAGTTATCTGTAATCAGATTACCGCCATGTCAGCTTTCTTTTGGCTTCCATTTGCTTGAAATATTGTTCTCCACTCCTTTACCTTTAGTCTAATTGCATCCTTGCAGGTTAGATGTGTTCCCTGAAGGCAGCAATACTTGGCTTGTGTTTTTTTTTTTTTTTTTTTAATTCATTTGGCCAGCCTATGTCTCTTGAGTGGGGAGTTCAAGCCATTCACATTTATTGAGATAACTGATAGGTGGTGCAGATTTGTGTTCATGATGTTGGGTTGAACTTTGTTGCTGTGGTTTCTTTCTTGAGCCATTGTAGTGTCTGGGCTTTGATCTTTAGCTTTGAGTAGATTTACATTTGTGAGAGTTTATTGTGCTGATCCGTGGGTAACACTGTTTTGAGTACTTCTTGAAAAGCTGCTCTCGTCTTGGTGAATTCCCTTAGTCTTTGCTTATCTGAGAATGTCTTGATTTCTCCTTCATATACAAAACTTAGTTTTGCAGGGAATAAGATTCTAGGCTGGGCATTGTTCTGTTTCAGAAGAGTGAGAATGGGGCCCCAGTCCCTCCTTGCTTGTAAAGTCTCAGTAGAGAAGTCTGGTTTTATTCAAATTGGCTTTCCCTTGTATGTTACTTGCTTCTTTCATCTTACATCTCTTAGAAGGGCCTATTTTTTTTTTTTTTGAGACAGAGTCTTGCTTAGTTGTCCAGGCTAGAGTGAGTGCTGTGGCGTCAGCCTAGCTCACAGCAACCTCAAACTCCTGGGCTCGAGTGATCCTTCTGCCTCAGCCTCCCGAGTAGCTGGGACTACAGGCATGTGCCACCATGCCCACCTAATTTTTTCTATATATATTAGTTGGCCAATTAATTTCTTTCTATTTATAGTAGAGACAGGGTCTCGCTCTTGCTCAGGCTGGTTTTGAACTCCTGACCTTGAGCAATCTGCCTGCCTCAGCCTCCCAGAGAGCTAGGATTACAGGCGTGAGCCACCGCGCCCAGCAGAAGGGCCTTTTTAGTTGATATTTTGGTCAGTCTGATGACTGCATGTCATGAAGTCTTACTATTTGCATTGAATCTCCCAGGGGTCCTCTGAGCTTCTTGAACTTGTATCTGGAGATTTTTAGCAAGGCCTGGGAAATTTTCCTCTTTTATATCTTCAAATAGCTTGTCCAACCCTTGGGTGTTTTCTTCTTCCCCTTCTGGTAACCCTGTGACCCTCACATTAGATTTCTTCACATAATCCCACATCTCTTGTAGGCTTTACTCTTTTTTCTTGTTTCTCTGCTCTATCTCTGTGCCTGATTTATTTAATTGGAAGGTGTTATCTTCAATCTCTGACATTCTTTCTTCTGTTTGATCTATCCTGTTTTTGAGGCTTTCCACTGAATTTTGTAGTTCCCTGAATTGATTCTTCATTTCCAGTATTTGGTTAAACTTTTCTTCATTGTATTGATTTCTTTAGTGGATTTTTGTTCCAGGTCCTGGAGGCCTTTTGTGGTTTCTTTGTGTTGGTTATGGAGTTGTTCTTGAAGGTCATTGAGTTTTCTTATGATCCACATTTGGAATTCCTCTTCTGTCATTTTGGTTGCCTGATTTTGGTTGGTGTCCATTTCTAAGGGGCTGGTGCTCCTCTTTGGTGGTGTGGTTTCCATTTGGTTCTTCATATTTCCGGAGTTCCTACACTGATTTCTTCCTATGTCAATCAGTTGTTGCTGCTTTCCTTTAGGTTTTTGTTTGGGTATTGACATGCCTTGTTTAGTTTCTGAGCCAGTAGGTGGTGTCTGTGGGTGAGATTCGACCACACCCTGTATGATGAGTCAGTAGGTGCTGTGGAAAGGGTGTGTAGGATGTCCTCCCTGTCGGTAGGTGGCACTTGCTTGGAGGAACAGGCTATGCTGTTGTTTTTGTGACCTGTGACCATGTCTTGTTCCTCTAGAGAGGCACTCTAGTGCCTCAGGTGGTGGATGGGCTCTGGGACTTCCAGGTGTGTCCTTTTCTCCTCCTCAGTGAGGGCTGGTCTGGGAATGAGTCTGGAGGGGGCTGGGTTGGGTAAGCTTGCCCTCAGGCACCACCATGCCATCAGCAGGGGTCAAAGTTCTGTTCTCCGCTTTCGGGAAAAGCTGACAGGGAGGGGCTGGAATGGCTCTGCTCAGTCAGAAAGTCTGCATGTGTGGGTGGGGCTGTGTGAGATCTGCAGTCTGTAGCAGGTCTCGCTTCTTTCCACTCTCTCCAACTCTGCAGCTACTCCTGGGCCTCTGCCAGCAGGCCAGACCTCACGCCTCCGGACCTTGCTTGGCTGTGATGCTGGCCAGGAGGCCTGCGCAGGAACACCACCTTTGGGAGGAGGGTTGCCCTCTAGGATGCTGATCTGCCCCTGAAGGCATAGACACCTCAGTAGGCTGTTGGCATATATCCCTTCTGTGCCCTGGGCAATGTGAGACCTGGGTGGATGGGATCTGGTCTGCAGGTCTGACCTCTTGGCCCCAGAGTTCAAAATATATCCCACAGGGAGAGGAGTGCCAGTCTCAATTCACCCACGGGTAGCCCAAGCTCAGTCTATTTCTCTCAACCTCAGGGTCTGCCCCATTCTCCTGAGATTACCGTGCCAGCAGTACCTGGGAGGTCTGGCGGGTCAGGAGCTCACTGTCTGAGTTCCCCTCAGTCAGCTGTAGGGCCCCAAAAGGGAAGGTCCTGTTCCCTGGAGGTGCCTCCAACTGGTGGCTATATTGTCTCTCCCAGCAGCCATGGATAGGGTCGGGGGAGGGGAGAATGACGCAATATGGTGGCTTGGGTCTGTGCACAGCGAGGTTTCCCACGGGAATTGGGAGCCTGGTGCCGTGTCTGCTATAGGCTTATGCCCACTGGTGGTGGGCATCTCTGGGCACATATCCACAGGTCTCTCCACCCACTGGGGAGCCTACCTGCAGTCCGAGATGCAAGGGAGGGGAAAGTTAACCATTCCACCTACCCTTGCTGCTGGTCTCCAGGCTGCTCCGGAGGTCTCTGCTTCTAGTTCCTCTCCTCTCCCTCCTCCCGTGGAGTTTCCCGTGGTCTCAGGTACCCCTCCTCGCGACCCTTGTCCGATGTTTGCTTGTTTTCTTGCTTCTTTCTTCTAATTTCTGCTAGAATCTGTCTTTTCTGCAGAGACACTCTGTCTGGCGGTGTTTCTCGTTCGCCATCTTGATTCTCAAATATTAAGTCTTCCCTCTTTAGTTTCTGGATTTTTAATGACCCAAAATTTTGGTAGCTAGCTCTCCATTTGGGCCTTGTTGACACCATCATCATGTGTAAAGTGTAATGATCTTGGTGGGCATTCTTTACTCTGTCACTGCGTTCATCACTTCTCTGTAGCCAGTGGCCATGTATGTCACTGGAAGAAGCCCTAGACATCTTCCAACCCCCATGTGCTGCATGAGTTATGAGAATTGCAAAGAATACATACACTGGACCCCCACGTGGCATCCAGAGCCATCAGCTAAGTAACAGGTTGGGCTCTGCTCATACCTCCAGTTCTTACGTTAATTCAGCAAACCTCCCCCATAAAGTCCCTACATGATGGAGGGTTCTGGAGATGTAACCTTTTCTTGGCCACTAATATACTATAGCTTTCTCTGCCCTGAAGAACCACAGAAGGATCACATTGCATTTTAAATAGTTATCAAATAAAAGCAATTTTGAAGCAAAGTATTTTTAGAGAGAAGCCTGGTCTAAAGTTCGTCCTTGGTTAGGTCAATCGTGTCAGACCCCTCCCCATCCATATGTAAAATGCAAATAGCTAGAAGTCCTGGCTTTTCTGTCTATGCTCCTTCAGAGTCTCCTCTGTCTGGTCCCCTCTCTCCTGCGCTGTCATCACACACGGACAGGCCTGTGGGAGACGCCAGCTGTCCTCCATCAGGCTGCAGTGAAGAGAGCGCTGAGCTGACATAATTCCCTCATAAAATGGGAATGTCCTGAGGAAAGGAGAGGAGGTGATGTAAGAAAAGAGACCAAATTGAAAAGGATCTGATGACCAACTGGACACGAAAGGAGTGAGGAGGAATCTGTGTGGGCTGAGTAATAAATTGAAAAAATAACCTAGGTAGAGATAGAGAGAAGACATAGTTATGTAGGGTTAGATTTTTAATTAGTCCTTCAAAATTTGTGTAGAACAAAGAAAACTATGTCCATTCCCCTCACCTGACAACTTCCCCTCCTCAACTTAGCAGCTCACGCTCATGTCTGTTTAAACAAGATGATGCAACTTCTCCGGGAAGAGCATACGTGAATGTTCAGGATTGGTTTTTTTCCCCTTGAGGTCATCCTGCTAGGAATGAGGGTGAGTGTGTGGACCAGGTAGACCTTGTGTGGACTATGTGTAGTCTACATAACCTGTAACATCCGTGCACCTGGGCAAAGCAATGCCTGAGTAGCCTGTGGGGGAGATGAGAGGAGGTGAGTTCACTCTCCTGGGGTTTCCTCTGAGGGAAACTGGGATTAGGAGCTAATCCTCCAAAAGCAATTGGGATGACACTTGCTAAATTATCACAAAGCAAAAAATACTTTATTCAAAATATGTAGTTTTGAGTAATTTCCATATTGTGCAGTTACACATCAGCAGTAGTTTGTTGGGATGCAGGCAATTAGACTATCAGAGACCTCATCTCATTGCTAACACAACATCATGGGAAAGCCACTGCAGATGTTCCAGGGGCATGTAGTTCAACATCGTCATATGCAGGGTCCCCTTCTTGCCCCTGCAGCAGCCAGGGTCTATCCGGTCCTTTCCCAGGGTCAGCTGTCCCTCTGAGGAACTGCAGAGAAGAACCTGAAATGGTACAGGGACTTTGGTTAGAGATGTGACAGAGGGAGAGGACAGAGCCCTGTGGTGGAAGCACAGTCAAGGAAGAGGGGAGGACAAAGCTTCCCCTGGGGCCACCAATGCCAAGGAAGCTCAGGCTGCCTAACATTAGTTACAGCAGGAACACAGCAGGGCCACTCCATCGGGGTCCAGTCCACGTGGGTCCCTGGGGCCGAGTCCCAGCTTATCTGGGACACACTGGATCACAGGTCTGTGGCCAACGCAGGTGCCCTGTGCTGACCTATTTCCTGGCTTACACAGTCAGTGAGGGGATGGGAAAGGAATTGGTGAGGATCCTAAGAGGGGCTGCTTAATTTTCTCCTTCCACACCTGACAAGTCTGAATTCACAGGGCGAAGGAAGCAGGATACGACATCTGGAAAATGTGTTTCTCACTGACCATCCAACCGTGCACTGGGTGGCCATGGTCTGTGTTCCCAGACGCCCACAGAGCCACCACAGAAACCTCCCACAGTTGTCCCCTCCCCAGGAATCTGACAACATTAAGGAAAGGAATATGGTCAAGCTAAGGGTATGGAAAATATGAGGCCATCCAATGTTTGAATATGCAGGAACTATGAGCACTGAGAAACTCAAATTCGCTTTTTCCTGGACAGAGACAGAAGATTACTGCAGACCAACTCACGCCACGCACCGGCCTGAGAGGCCCTCGCCACACTGTCCTCCTGCGGCGGCAGCTGCCCCCCACTCATCTGCGGGACGGGGGGCGGCTCCGTAACTGGCATCTCTGCAGCATCATCGTAGCCCTCACTAGGGGCGTCGGCCCCTTGACCCGGCGGTTCTGAGGGCAGAAGGGGAGCAGGTGAAACCACAGTAAATGCTTGGCCTGGGCGGCACCGGCAGTCCCTCGACCCAGAGATTCTGACGGTTCGTCAATGGAGGCACCATCACCCCCATGTTAACAGGCCTCTCCAAGGCCAAATGTTTCATAAACCGGAAAATAATCCAATTATCCTAATATTTCTCGATGAAAACAGCATATTTCAAAGAGACTCTCATACCAGTGAGCACTACTAAATATTAATAAAACATTTTGTCAGATTATGCATCCCAGGTGTTATATTTTCAAACAACGTGTGTCATTGTGACTGAACCAGAGTGGCTCCAGGCACAAAGCACCCGGCCCAAACATGCGACCTCATAGAGGCGCAAGAGAAGGGGGAGGCTGGACCCCAGCAGGAAACAAGAGAGCCCGCCAACCCCAGGCAGAGGAACACTGTCCCCTCAGGCCCTCATCTCCATGAGGGAAATTCCTCCTGCCCCTGAGCCCAGCCAGGGACAGCCACCTCTGCTACCTGGAGTGGATTTATAGTCTCACCGTTGTCCTCAGCGTCCCCTGTGTAATATGGCAGTTTACTTGCTGAGTCGTCTGACAGGGACCCTGATGTGGAGAAAAACATCCAGAAACAAACAGAACACTCCTCCCATCCCTGTTGGCCCGTGGAAAGGCAGAGAAGAAATCTGCGGCCCACGGGGCTCCTGGGGGGTGAGGGGAAGGCTCGGGGCTCGGGGCTATGGAGAGGCGGAACCTGCAGCCTCAGGTGGGGGCTGCCTCGGGGGGCCTGGGGCAGAGGCGGGTCTGCGGGTGCTGGGAAGACGTGGCTCACGGTGGCTGACAGCCAGGGCTCCCAGGAGGGCAAGGTGGGGACACACACCTGGGCTGCCCAGCAGATCCTCCTTCAGTGTCCCGAGGTAATCGATCTCCTGGTACACAGGCTCGTTGAGAGCATCCTGGAAACTGGACAAGGCTGAGCAAAGCAGCTGCAGGTCAGAGATCGCCACCTGAGACCACCCCGGAACCAGCAGACTAAACCCTCACACTCGCCGATGCTCGCACGTGGAAAGCCCGCAGGGCTGCCAGGACCCCTTGAAGGGCCAGAGCCCATGCAGATGTCCGCGCCTTCTGACCCTACCCGCCCTGCATGCACAGCTCAGCTCCTACTCTTTCTTGCATCACATAAGAGGCCATGAGCTCTCTGTACTGAGACCCCAATCCTAAGGGCCTCCTAACAGAGCCCTTGGAGTGTAGTGTACGGCAGATGGAGTTTGCAGACTAATGGGGTGAGAAGACACCGAGCCCAGTTTTCCTCTTGCCACGCCTGGCCCCACTGCCTGCCTCCACACACTTCCCGGGCCACATAGTTGTCCCCTAGGACGCACCTCTGCGCTCTGCTCTCCATCTGTGCAGCTGAGTCCCCAGAATGATGAGCACCAGGAAGAGAAGGGCTCCCAGGACGAGGCAGAGGATCCCAGGTAGGGAGAAGATGCCAGGGACAGGAGCTGAGCCTGGACTGGCGCCTGAGAAGATAAAAGGGTCATGAGCCTTTGGAGACGGTCGTAAGTCCCACAGATCCCCTCAACACCGGCTATCTCCTGTGTCCTCACGCCCATGAAGACAGCAGTTCAGACTCGATGCACCTGCGTGCACCCCATGATGTGCCCAGCCCAGGCCCTGCCCTGAGCCCTGCCCACTGCCTTCTGGATCCGGTTCTATGGGATTTCTGTGTAGTGAATGCTGGTAATCCGTGCAGCTCTCTGGCTGCTACAACTTAATGAAACTTTATGGCTGCTCCCAGTACTAGATCAGCAGGGCTACTGATATTTCGCACGAAGAAGGCAGATTCCATGGTGCAGGTCCCTGACAATCTGGGTATCTCCTCTGTTGCATGGCCCAGAGCAGAAGAAACACTTACCTCCAGGGCTAGGGGGAACTGCTGTCCTTTCACCTGGAGAGAAGAGAAGGAGAAGGAGGTCACTGTACTGGCTTGGCCTGGAAAAGTCGCGGGGTCACACCTACCATCACTGGCACATGGTTCTCTCCTGGGTGCCAGGAGATCAGACCCAGGTGTCTCCAGGGCCACAGCGCAGGGCAGCAGGGCATCCTAGGAAGAGCTTTTGGATGTGCACTCGCACCTGCCTCATCCCCCCATCCTCCTGGTCCTGCTGCTCACCTGAGCACCTGACTCCCGCGTCCTCCTCGTGCTTGCAGTTGCTGCGCCCCCAGGGCTGCGCAGCGCAGGCCCACAGGGAGGACTCCACGCTACTGCAGCGCACGTCGTCCAGCCAGATGCTTCCATTTCCCGGGCCAAACGCAGCCTCCCCCAGGGCGTCCAGGGCGGAGCCACAGCCCAGCTGCCGACACACCACCTCGGCCTCTGCCAGGCTCCAGGAGTCGTCACACACCGTGCCCCAGGAGCCGTCGTGCCAAACCTCCACTCGGCCTGAGCACACGCTGTCTCCTCCCCTGAGTCGGATCTTCTCTTTGTCTGAAAAGGCAGCAGCACATCCAGTTACGCCCCTCACCCCTGGTGGGAGGGACAGAGCCCCTGGGGGCAAAGAGGGGAGGGCGTGGGGGCTGCTGTACCTGTGCAGGGGGCGGCAGCTGGGCAGCTCTCAGGTGTGGCTCCTGCAGAAGCAGAGAATGGAGGAGCCTGATCAGGAGCCGCTGGGCGGCCCTGCCCCAGACAGGTGCCTGCTGTCCTTGGCGCAGTCCATGTGCGAGTGACAAAGCAGGATTCATAATGAGCCTTACAGGCTGAGTGTCTGAGATGTGTAATCCCAGTATAACTTGTCCGTATCACTGCCTGCAATTAGTTTATCTGTTTGTTTATCACTCTCCACATTCCCGCAACACAAACACAGACGTGTTCACACACAGGAATGAAAGCTCTGCTAGAGGAAGGACCTCGCCCATCTCAGTCCCTGTTCCTGCTGTCAGGACAGAGCTTCGCCATTGAGTCTGTATGGAGAGCCTTCTATGAATACTGTGATCAGGGCTTGATAAAGAGGTATTGAGTGAATGAATAGATGAGTAAATTGCACTTAAAAATAGTTCCTTTGAATTCTTGCTAATCAGTAAGATAATAATGAAAACATAAATTAATCTTAATGGTTTGTGATAATAAATAGAAGGTATTTAAAAACATTGTCCAAAAGCAGAAGTAATTTGTGTTCAATAGTCAACTAATATACCTTTTAATGAAAAATTATAAACCATTCAAAACTACTTTAATCTATTTTTCAGTATGACAGGTGGGCAAGCAAAGGAGATTACTATAGTGAGAGGAAAGATTTTAAAAATAGAATATTTAAAAAATAGAACAAGTACAATTCAAAGAAAGATATATAAGTAGACAGATAGCTATTAGACACAAATGTCTCCAAGAGACTCAAATAAATGTACAAAGAAAAAATGTATCAGGAAGACACAGAGATAAACACAGGACCAAAAAATATGTCAAATACATACAATCAGAAGCAGTACACATAAACTCAAAACAATACATAGAATCCAGGAGTATACATGGCACTTGTCATAAAATATGTAGCAGATTCATGGAGGAGACACAGCAAAAGGCAGGGAGGGGTAAGGGAAAGTGGGCTGCCAATCCTTAATGCCTCCAGGGTTCTTGTTCCGGACAAGTAGCACTGTTCATTCCCTGGGAGACCACCACATGGGTGACATCCTTTTATGTTCCTTCTACTTAGAGTGAACCAAACCTGACCTTTGTAACCTCCATTCATCAGTCCGAGCCCGGCCCTGAAGCAGCTCATGGAGGACTGACCTCCCCCCTCTCCCAAAGCAAAATCCTTCAAAGGTTGAGGTGAACAAGCTACACCATCCCAGACATTTTTGCTAAAACATGCCAATTATAGACTCCCTGTGACATGGTTTCCAGTTGTTTTTGTACTCAGGACACATGCCACTAGACAATGACATGTACAAGTGTCACTACTAAAGGCAGTCCAACCAACCATACATGAACACATGAATCACCTTGGGAACTAAAATAAATATATTTCCAGGACTGAATAGAGAATATATTACAGAAGAGAAAGACCACTAAAGATGTGACCACTAAAGACTGTTGGAATAACCAGGCAACAGGTGACCTTTCCTGGACTAATGTAATGATGAGATGGAAAGAGCGGGAGGATTAAAGCTGTATCTGATTGTAGAGGCACCAGAACCTGCTCCTGTGCTGAAAGTGAAGGGAAGGGAAGCAGAGAAATGAAGGTTGATTCCCACGCCCTGAGCTTAGGTAACTGGGTCATGGCAGTGACACGAACTGAAATGGGGCATGTGGCAGGGAGGAAAAGTTATGGGCAGGGATTGAGTGGGTGGAATCAAACATTCCACTTTGGAAAGCTAAATCTGAGATTCCCATTAGATATTGAAGTGAGGCTATCTATTATATATATCAATAAAATATAAGAGTTTGAAGTTAAGGGCAGAGATCAACTGTGAAGGTATATATTTGAGAGCTGTCAGCCTAATGATGTCATTTAAGGCCACAGACCTCAGTGAGACCTTGCAGGGAAGGTACACAGATAAGGAAGAGTAGGACTGATGCTCAGCCCAGGGAGTGTCTAAAATCTAGAGGTTGAGCGGAGAAGTTGCAAGTCAGAGAGACAGAATAAGAACAATCAGTGAGGTAGGGTGACTGTCAGGAAAGAAAGAAAATTGAGAAAGAAAGAGAAGTCAACTTGTTGAATGGTGCTGAGAGGTCAAGAACAATGAAAACAGGAAAGGTTGTTGTATATCATGACATTATCCATTCTGAGGAGTGGTAGAGTCTAACAGTTAAAGGGAAGGGGCTCAGAAAACAGGAAACACAGAGGTGGAGACAGTGCGTATCTGGCCATACTGTTGGAGATTTGGGCTGTGGAGGGCAGAGAGGAGAGGTGGCGCAGTAGCAGCAGTGGGACGTGGGGTGGAGGAAGCATGCTGGTTTGTTCATGTGTTTCCCAGATGGGAGACACTCGAGCCCATGTGAATATTGATGAGAATGAACCAGGAAAGAGAGGGAGAAATTGATGTTGCAGAGGAAGACTGCACCTTTGAAACAGTGAAGTCTTTGACAAGGTGAGTAGGATCAGAATGTGTCGCCCAGGGAGAAGAGCTGGTGTCACACAAGGCCTGAGGCCACGAATCCAGAGGCCAGGTAGAGGGTGTGCCAAAAAACGTGCAAAGGTAAAAGACAGGTGAGGAAGTTCACAGCTGACAAATTTCCCAGTGAAGTGTGAGGCTTGGCCATTTAAGGGAGGATGGTGCGGGCAAGAGCCGTGTGGGGAGAGCAGAGAATATGTAAAATATGACCTTAGAGAGAGAGCGAGCGCACGTGCCAGGGAGGCACACTAGACTCTGGGCAGCGGGAGTGCCCATTGGGGATTCAAGTCCTGGAATTCAAAGAGTCCAGCAACGTAATTGTGCGCTATTCTCCAGCCACTTTCAGTAGTCCAGTTCAGGCAAGGCGTGGTTAGGTGGTTGACTTTATCCCTCCTTGTGCTTGTCAGGTAAGAGTGACAAGGGGCAATGGAGTTGAGTGTACTTAAAGGAGAATGATTATAGTGTTGAATCACATTATATAATCTGACCAGGAAATGATATGTAAACATAAGTAGCGTGGAAAACTATGAAAAAGGGATGAGGTACAATATTGGGCATCTCTATGAGGATGGAAAGTACTGGAAAGGAGCATTAAGGATATGTGCCATGAGGAGAAGAGGTAATAGAGAAAGGACCAGCAAAATGGAAAGACTGCAAGGTGCGCGGTTATCGATGGTCAGCAGTGTCTGCACAGGCAGAGGGGACGGAAGGCAGGGACGTGGAAATGGGTTGCTCACTGAATTGAGAGGCCTGCTGCTGTCTCAGTTGGTTTCGGGGTGTTGACAGTGCCTGGGATGAGATGAGGAAGAACTTGGCTGGTGAACCTGGTGTGACAGGCTTCCCGGCTGAGGAGTGACCAGGGCGAATAACTACAGCAACAAACAGAAGAGCGGGCGGTATCACCTCATGGGGAATTCAGGTGCTGGATGTTGAGATGAAAGACAGAAGAGGAATTGTTGAAAATGACACCTGACAGCAGGAGTTTACTCATTCCAAGTTTCACCCCAGAGAAAAGTGTGTTGATAGAGAAACACAGAGCCTCCAGTTGATAGGGAAATCAGTGATCTCAGAGAAAGCAGGTTTTGATCAGAACATGAAAGCGAAGGGAACATGGCAAGAGTAAATAAATCCAACACTGATGCACTCCACATCCCGGCAGGCACCATGGAACGTTTTGTGTGAGTGAGATCGGGGGGAGCAGTCACGCACAGTGTCAAAGGGTAAGGCTCCGAGGATGCAGGATCCGCCAAGAAGACCGGGATTCAGAGAAGAGATCCACTCAAGGAGAAAGGTGTGAGCACAGCAGGCCCCTGACCTCTCAGCAGTTCCCACGACGTGGCCGACAGGACGAGGAACAAACGTCCCCTCCAGGCATTGCATGGGCCCTGCCTAAGAGAGGCCTCTGCTCTGGTCGCCGCTCCAGGTAATCAGCTATTCTCCCTCCACCCTTTGTCTGCTCTGGCCATGGTGGAACTTTCTCAATACCTCAAAGACACCACGATCCCTCCCACCTCAGTATTTAAACCCCCCCAAATTATCTCTACTCTTACTTCCCCTTAGCGAATTCCTACTCATCCTCAGGTCTCAGCCAAAATGTCATTTATTCTTCTGCTCCAAGTGCACACTCCCAGCGTCTTCTACTTCTTCATGACACTTGAAATTTCTGCCTAATGAGTGTTTTCAGCTCCAGAGTGTAAGCTGCCTGAGGGCCATGACTGCACACCCTTCTCTTCTCTGTTCTCTCACCGGCAATCCAAATTTCTACCTGCAGGGCACTCAATACATTCTGCCCACAGACTGCGACGTTGTGCGTGTGGTGCAGACGCAGCACAGAGTGGAAGACCCGGGCTTAGAGAACAGGGCAGTCAGACTGCAGCTCCCAGCTGTCCCTTACTCACTTTAAGGCATAGGGCGTATGACTACTCTTAGCCTCAGTTTCCTTGTCTGCTTCAAGTGATCACAATGGTACTTACTAACAGTTTGCTGCGTGGATTTCATCATATGTTAAAAAAAACAAACTCAACATAACGATAGCACCCAGCAAGTGATTTATATAACTGACCTCCTATCTCTTACTCTCCTCACTAAGGAAATACAGAATAATAAACATGGCCTAAGATGGCATGAGCAATTCCTTAGAAAGTTTATTAGATTATTAGCTCATGTTCTCACCATGTTCAACTCAATCTCTTTGGTATTTTTCACACAAATCGCAATTGGCACAGGGTTTCTTTTTTTAATTTTAATTTTTTTTTATTTCAGAGTATTATGGTGGTACAAACGCTTTGGTTACATAAATTGCCTTTGCACCACCACAAGCATGCCCATCCCCCAGATGGCACACACCGCCTCGGTTAGGTGTGGATTTACCCATCCCCTCCACCCCCCTCCCACCTGCCCGACACCTATGAATGTTGCTTCCCACATGTGCACATTAGTGTTGATCAATTAGTACCAATTTAATGGTGAGTACAGGCGGTGTTTGTTTTTCCATTTTTGTGATACTTAGAAGAATGGGCTCTAGCTCCATCCAGGCACAGGGGTTTCCTATTTTTGCCTTTGCAAGTAGGTTGGAACACATGGATTAAAAAATCTCCACCCAAAATTCATTTTGTAGATTTATCATATACTCATCACTTAGATTTGGAAATACAAAATTTCGCTAACAACAACTATAGGGATAGGGCAGACACATAGAAATAGGCAAAAAGTCACCTGCACATCTGATGTAAGCTTCATCATTTGGAAAGCAAGATGTGTCTTTCCAGGGATCAGAAGGACACTGCCAGAGGGAGGTAGCAGTTTTCCGACACTGGATTCCATCCACCCACCGGGGTCTAGAACCTTCTCTGACAGCAACAGAAGAGTCAAGAGTCCCATTGTCCCCACAGCCAAGCTGTCTGCAGATGATGGACAAGGTCATGGCTTCCATGGGGCTGTGGCAGACACTGCCCCAGGTCCCGTTGTAGAAAACCTCCAGCCACCCAGCGCACTTCTGGTCCCCGCTCACCATCCTGAGGGCCAAGAACTCTGCAATCAAAAGGAGAAAGGAGGGCACAGTAAGCATTGCACTCTTGGTGCTGGGGTTTTTGTTTTTCTTCCTTCCGGTCCCAAAGGTGGTGAACACTCATTGCTGACTCTGCTGAGGAAGCACTGCTATGTGGCAACATGAAAATTTTTCTCCCTGATCTGATCTTGCCAATTTGTGCCTGTCTTTCTGTTTCTGCAACGATGTAGTGGAATATAAACAGACCTAGCACTCTGCAGGGAGGAAAAGCTGAATCCTGTTTACTGACTACACTTCTGGCAGACTCTATGAAAGGGAGTTTGGATAAGGGGTGGCGGGCACAATAATGGAGCCACGGATATGTTCACCCTTATTAATCCTTGCAACCTGCACACGTGTTACCTGACATGGCAAGGGGACGCTGCAGACATCACTAATACAAGGACCCCAGGATGGTGGGATCATTCAGGCCTATCCTGGATCAACCAGCTCAATCTAATCCCATCCTTAGACCTGCTGTCCTTAAAAGCAGATAACCTTTTCTGGCTTTGGTCAGAGGGTGGTGACACTATGGAAGAATGGTCAGAGAGCTGCAATGGTGCTGGCCGGACAAGGAAGAGGGCTGTGAGCCACGGAATGCAGGCGACTCCTGCAAGCTGGAAAAGGCAAGACAAGGAATTCTTCCCCAGAGCCTCAGAGGAATGCAGCTGTGCTGACGCCGTGATCGTGGCCCAGTGAGACCCGTGTCAGACTACGGCCTCTAGAACTGTATAATGAAGTCGTGTTGTTAACTTAGTGACGATTTGTTATGGTACAGCAGCCATAGGAGAGGAATACAGTGGGCCTCAAGATTTTGCTACCACAGGTAACTGAAGAGTGATCCCTGCTTCCAAATGGAACTCCATAGAAAATGACTGTGTCGGGAAGTATTGCTGAGAGGGAAGGACCAGAACCCCAGCTACTGAGGGAGGAAAGGAAAGCTCCTAATCTGCATGTCTGCTGGAAAGACGGGCGCTATGGAAGCAGCCTCCTTCCCTCTGGCCCTTTCAGCAGTTCGGGGTCTTCCCCCAAGGCTCAGAGGCCACCTGGAGACCCCCCCTCAGCTCCCCAGCCTGTGGACAATGTGCCCCCCAGACCTGAGCAGGTGACCCCCGCGTCCTCCTTGTGCCTGCAGTCGTGCTGCCCCCAGCCCTGGAAAGGGCACTTCCACACATGGGACTCCTTCCCTGTGCACTCCAGCTCGTCCAGCCAGATGGGCCCTGCCCCCTCCCCAAAGCGAGCAGAGCCCAGGGCGTCCAGGGCCTGTCCACAGCCCAGCTGTCTGCACACCACGTGGGCATCCCTCAGGTCCCAGCTGTCGTCACAGATGGTGCCCCAGGAGCCCTGGTGGTAGATCTCCACTCTCCCGGCGCAGCGACTGCCCCCGTCCGCCAGGCGGAGATGTCGGCTCTCTGAGGAGAGACAGAACCATGTCAGTGGGGCGTTTAGACAGGAAATGAGAAGGGTTTCTGGTTCGGTGGGACCTGTCACCTGAGCAGTTGGCAGCGCTGTCCTCCGAGGCTGCAGGGGCTGCTGGGTCAGACGGGGAGTCGCTGCACTGGGGCAGCAGCTGGGTCTGGTGTCCTACAGAGAGGGTTAGAGAGCAGGAAAGTGAACTCAAGTGGAAAAACTGTGCGATGCAATCTGAGATGAAGGCTTTTATGTTCCTATCTTCAAAGTTAATATTCTTTATGGAGATTTCTGCTTTTGATGAGGCTAAACTTTGTGTTTTAAATCAAACATACAGTAGGAATGATTTTAGAAAAGTGAAATTATGTCAATCTTGGTTGAAAGCATTTTGGAGCTCCCAAGGCAGTGAGAATTTTTGGAGCGAAGGTCTCAGAAAGAAGTAAGAGGGAGGTGTGCCTCCTCCTCCTTGGGGCATTGGCCCATTCAAAGATAATAGCTGAGATCCTGAAAAGTTTAGTAGAGGTTTTGCAAGACTCATAGGATTTCAGAAATACGGAATTCATGGTTTGCCAAGGGGGTGCAGCCCTGTTAAACAACCAGAAACCTTGTACCAAAGGTACAAATAGTCTACTATAAGTAGGCTATTCCTTACAAGGGTGGGTGCTCAGCTCCTAATCTTTCCAATTCTCTTTAAATATGTTCATCTACCCATAAAACACATGCCCAGAAGCAAAATAAAGTTCTTTTTCAAGGATTTTTATGATTTTTCATCTACAATATCAATAAAAGATGCCCTCATAAAAGAGAGTTGATGAAAAACCAGTAGGAAAGCATCTGGGACTGTTGGTGGGCTCCCCAGTGGGTGGAGAGACCTGCGGACACAAGCCCAGAGACGGCCACTGCCAGTGAGTTTGGTAAGCCTATAGCAGATGTGGCACCAGGCTCCCAACTCCCTCGGGGCACCTCTGTGCATACAGACCTGAGCCACGCAGCAGTGGCCATATTGCTACATTCTCCCCTCCTCCATCCCTATCTGTGGCTGCTGAGAGAGACAATATACTCACCAGCTGGAGGCATCTCTAGGGAACTGGACCTTCCCTTATAGGGCCCTTCAGGTGACTGAGGGATACTCAGACTGTGAGCTCCCTACCTGCCAGCCTTCCCAGGTGCTGCTGGCCTGGTGAATCCAGGAGAATGGGACATACCCTGAGGCTGAGAGACATTGAACCAGCTTGGGCTCTGGTGGGTGAATTAGGACTGGCACTCCTCTCCCTGGTGGGGTCAGGGATTGAATTCTGGGGCCCAAAGGTCAGACATGCAGACCACATCCCCTGCATGGATCATAAGAAAATTCAATGATTTGCAAAAAAACTGGATAACCAGTGCAAAAAGACTCCAGGACCTGCAACAAAAATTCACTAAAAAAATTGAAACAATGAAGAAAAATCTAACCGAACTCCTGGAAATGAAGAATCAATTCAGGGAACTACAAAATTCAGTGGAAAGCCTGAAGACAGGGTAGATCAAACAGAAGAGAGAATCTCAGAGATTGAAGATAACACCTTCCAATTAAATAAATCAGTCACAGATAGGGCAGAGAAACAAGAGAAAAGAGCAAAGCCTACAAGAGATGTGGGATTATGTGAAGAAACCCAATGTGAGGTTATAGGGTTACCTGAAGGAGAAGAAGAAAATACTCAAGGGTTACATAAGCTATTAGAAGATATAATAGAGGAAAATTTCCCAGGCCTTGCTAAAAATCTTGATATACAAGTTCAAGAAGCTCAAAGGACCCCTGGGAGATTCAATGCAAACAGGAAGACATCACAGCATGCAGTCATCAGACTGACCAAAATATCAGCTAGAGAGGCCTTTTTACAAGCTGTAAGATGAAAGAAGCAAGTAATATACAAAGCAAAGCCAATCCAAATAACTCCAGACTTCTCTACTGAGACTTTACAAGCAAGGAGAGACTGGGGCCCCATTCTCACTCCTCTGAAACAGAACAATGCCCAGCCTAGAATCTTATTCCCTGAAAAATTAAGTTTTGTATACGAAGGAGAAACCAAGACATTCTCAGATAAGCAAAGACTGAGGGAATTCACCAAGACGAGACCACCCCTTCAAGAAGTACTCCAAACAGTGTTACCCATGGATCAGCACAATAAACACTCATGAATGTAAATCTACTCAAAGCTAAAGATCAAAGCCCAGATACCACAATGGCTCAAGAGAGAAAACAAAGCAACAAAGTTCAACCCAACATAATGAACACAAATGTGCCCCACCTATCAGTTATCTCGATAAATGTGAATGGCTTGAACTCCACACTCAAGAGACATAGGCTGGCCAAATGGATAAAATAACACAAGCCAAGTATCTGCTGCCTTCAGGAAACACATCTAACCTGCAATGATGCAGTTAGACTAAAGGTAAAGGGGTGGAGAAGAATATTTCAAGCAAATGGAAGCCAAAAGAAAGCTGGCATGGTGGTGCTGATTACAGATAAGTTAGTTTTTAAATCAACAAAGGTAATAAAGGAAAAAGAAGGTCACTATATAATGGTGAAGGGTACAGTTCAACAAGAAGACATAACAATTCTAAATAATATGCACCCAACCTTGGTGCACCCAGATTCATAAATCAAACTCCACTTGATGTAAACAAATGGATAAACAACAACACCATAATAGTCGGAGAATTTAACACCTCACAGGACAATCCTCCAAACAGAAAGTCAACAAAGAAATAATGGACTTAAACAGAACTCTAGAACAAATGGGCCTGACTGACATTTACAGGACATTCTACCCCAAAACCACTGAATATACGTTCTTCTCATCAGCTCATGGATCATTCTCTAAGATTGACCATATCCTAGGACACAAAGCAGATCTAAAACAATTTAAAAAATAGAAATTATACCATGTATCTTTTCAGACCACAATGGAATAAATGTAGAAATCGATCCTAACAGGAGTCCTCATTTCTACACAAAGTTATGGAAACTAAGCAATCTTCTGCTGAATGGTCACTTCATAAACGAGGAAATCAAGATGGAAATCAAAAAGATTCTTTGAACTAAATGACAAAGAAGACACAAGTTACTAAAAACTGTGGGACACTGCTAAAGCAGTCCTGAGAGGATAGTTCATTTCCATAAATGCCTATATCCAAAAGTCAAAAAGATCACAAATACATAACCTAATGAATTTTCTCAAGCAGCTGGAAAAAGAACAGACCAACCCAAACCCAGCAGAAGAAGTGAAATCATTAAGATCAAATCAGAACTAAATGAAATTGATGACAGGGAAACTATACGGAAGATTAATAAAACAAAAAGTTGGTTCTTTGAAAAAATAAACAAAATTGACACATCTTTGGCTAGACTAATGAAAAATAGAAAAGAAAAATCTCTAATAAGCTCCATCAGGAACAATAAAGGAGAAATTACAACTGATGCCCTGGAGATACAAGATATAATTTATGAATACTACAAAAACCTCTATGCACACAAACTGGAAAATGTGGAGGAAATGGACAATTTCTTAGAAACACACAGCCTCCCTAGGCTCAACCAGGAAGAAATAGAATTCTTGAACAGACCAATATCAAGTACTGAAATTGAAACAGCAATAAAAAAACCTTCCTAAAAAGAAAAGTCCTGGACCTGATGGTTTCAAACCTGAATTTTACCACGCCTACAATGAAGAACTGGTGCCTATCCTGCAGAAATTATTCCACAACATCGAGAAGGATGGAAACCTCCCCAACACATTTTATGAAGAGAACATAACCCTGATACCAAAACCAGGAAAGGATGCAACAAAAAAAGAAAACTACAGACCAATATCCCTTATGAATATAGATGCAAAAATTCTCAATAAAATCCTAGCCAGGGACAGGAGGACATTTGAATTGGTCTGGGTAATATGGTCTTAGGGATGGAGAGGAAATATATTGAGGTTGTTGGTGCTCAATGTACTGTCATAACTAGATCTGGCTATGAAACCAAAGGGCAATATAATTAAGCTAGGAAGGTATGGGGATGCATTGTAGAGAACTTGCAGGTGAACATATGGCTAAAAGTAGGAATTTATGAATGAAAGAAATGTATGTTCTTGCCTCACTTACCATAATGTGTTATAGAAATAAATGTGATGTCTGAATGGAGAAATCTTCCCTTGCCCAAACCATTGGAAATGGGATGTGCTACTCTTCATTCTGTTTTAATCAGGTCTGTTAGGTGGGAACCTTGGAATTACCTAAACCCACTCAAGTGACTGATTTCAAATAGCATAGGATAACTGGGGTAGGGGGCACCAAGAATTTAGGCCTTATTTAAGGATCCGTTAGATGCAGGTGTATTTGTGCCCACCATTTTCTTGTTTAATAGCCCAGTATGACCTGTGAGAAAAGCTAATGGGTCCTGGAAACCAACTGTGGATTACAGAAATCGCAACGTAAGTAGTGTCAGCTGTATCCAGTGTGCTATTTAACAACTCAAACTGTGCAACAAGTTAAGGAAGACTGGTGTTTCGTGATTAATTTTGCTAATGCTTTCTTTTTAATTTCTACTTTGAAAAAAAGTCAGAGCCCATTTGTATTTATGTAGGACAGACTTCAATATTAATTTACTGTGCTCACACAGTATTTAAGTCTTCTGTTATTGCCATAGCTGAACTTGAGGGATATTCTACATAATAATTGGCCTGTATTCTTAAAAGAATGTCAAAGTCATAAAATTCAAAGAAAGATTCTGAAAGCTTTCCCTATTAAAGGAGACTAAATGGACATAACAATTGAATGCACCACATTACCTTAAATCTTTTACTTGGGACTACTGGTAAAATCTGAATAAGGCTTATGGACTAGATAATAGTATTATAACAAGTAAATTTCTGCAATTTAGTAGCTGTACTATAGTTATGTATGGAAATTCTTCGAAGTGTTTTAGGGGTAAAGAGACATCATGTCTGCAATCTACTTTTAACTACAATTCAGAAGGAATGTATTTTTATGTATTTATGGGGAAATGAGGCAAAGAAGGGACAGGGGAGATAGAGAAAGAAAGGGAGAAAATGGCATAATACTAAATCAGAGAATCTGGGTAAAGGTTATCTGGAAATTCTTATACTACTCTTACAACTTTTCTGTAATTCTCAAATTATATAAAAAGAAAAAGAAACAAACACCAAAACAACCAAAAAACAAAGGTGAAAAGTCAGAGAGGACTCATTCTCAGGAGATCTTCACTGTAAGAAATGCTAATAACATCAAATCATAAAACACTTAGGAGAAACGTAAGAAAAGATGTATAAAACCTCTGAGAGAAATTAAAGAATTAATGAATGGAGGTATATATCACATAAATGAACTGAAAGACTTGATATTTTCAGAATCAATTATTCCCAAATTTATATGTAGATTAAATCTAATCTCAATTGAATACCATTATGCTTTTTTGGGTAGAAAATTATAAGTTGATTTTAAAATTTATATAGAAGCACATCAGACCAAGCATGACCATATACATGGTAAGAAAAGGGAGAAAGTTGGAGGAGCTACTTTAAAGTAACTCCTTACAGTTATACAGATTTACCATGAAGACACAATAATTAAGAAAGTATAGTATTGGTGCAAGGATAGACAAATGATAAAATTGAACAGAATAGAGTTTAGAAAAAGACTCAGACATACTTCCACTGTCTTTATTTCAAATGTGGCACTGTAGTGAGGAAAAGAATCTTTCCAGGAAAGAATTCTGAGTCAACTGGATAACTGTATAAAAATATGAAACTTGACCCCAAATTATATCATACACGGATATTAATCTGTACAATTATATACAAAATAAAAATAATTAAACTTCTATAAGATACCCTTGGAGAATATTTTTACAATATTGAGGTAGGCAAAGTTCTCTTAAAAGGGATTTCTTATATCTCATTTGTTATATCTTACCTTTATTTCTTACGTCTCATGCACTAAGTGCACAGGAAAAAGTTAATAAGTTGTGCTTCATTAAGATTAAGAACTTGACTCATCAAAGAACACCATGCTATTAAGTGAGTGAAAAATAAAAGGCCAAGGGGTCAAATACACAAAATAAATACACCCATATTTGCACCAAAAGTCATTGTCACAGTAATTGAAACATTTTTATTTGTAATGGTCAAGAACTGCAACAACTCAAATCTCCCCCACCGGTTGAATGTTTCAATTCGTGGGCATGAGGTCAATTCGATGGACTACTCTATAGCAATAAAAATGAATGAAGTGCTACTGTAAACAACAACATGGATGAATCCCAAATGTAATGTTGAGTCAAAGAAGTTAGGCACAAAAGAGGACATATTGAGTGATTTTATATCCATCATGACAAAAATATCCTTTGGTAGTAGAAGTTAGGGAGTGATTTTCTTTGGAGAGGAAGGAGGGCATAGTGCCTGGGGGGTATGTAAGTGACTTCTGGGGCTGGCTAATGCTCTCTTTGTAGATCTAGGCTGGGGCATTTGACTGGGCTATGTACGTATTGTTTATATGTTGTTCTCCATGTATTACACTTGAATAATAATGTTCATTTAAAAAATATTATTCCTCTTAGCATTTCTTGACCTAAAGTGAAAGATGAATGAACAATGAGAAGAACCACTTTTCACCACAGAATGTCTCACTAATGTCTCACTTTTGAGGTCAGTTTTTCACATTCTCTGCTCTTAGGGACATTTTGCTTAAGGAGCATCTTGAGTACCAGTCAGCCCTCACCTCTCTCTTACCTGAGCAGACCACAGAGGCCGTGTTTCTGCGGTTACAGTCGGGAACACCCAGGGCAGTCACGGGGCAATGCCACAGGAAGGGCTCAGCCCCTGAGCAGTGAAATCGGTCTTTCCAGACCCCATCACCTCCTTCCACAGAGTATGCTCCTTTTGGGGTAGAGATGGCGACTCCACAGCCCAGTTGACGGCAGACGACATTGGCGTTGGCCATACTCCAGTGGGAGGCACAGAGCGGTCTCCAGTCTCCAGAAATATTCATCTCCACTTGTCCCTCACACTGAGAGGTGCCATTTTTCATGAGCCGGACTTCTGTGTAATCTGGTAGGAGAAGACAGGAATTCAGCAAAATCTCATGTTCTTCTTACCCCCAGCGGAGTGTGCAGGTAGGTTAAAGTCCCACCATGAGTCTTACCTGAACAGACGATTTGAACAGCCCCACTGTGGTGGCAAGTCCCTCCAGGACAGGGCGCTCTCGGGCAGAACCAGAGGCTAGACTCCTGCCCCTCGCACTGGAACTCTTCAGCCCAGACCTGTCCACTGGCCCCTCTGAAGGGCACGTGCCCCAGGACGGACGCAGCCTTGCCACACCCCAGCTCTGCACAGATGACCTGGGCAGTGGAGAACGTGAAGTTCCCATCAGAAACTGGAGTCCAGCCTCCACCAGAATTCACTTCTACTCGTCCTGAGCAGGGTCCATTTCCTCCAGCCAGCTGCACAAATCCTAAGAGAAAAAATGAGCACACCGAGTGTCCATGATCCTGGCTTGTCAGTATGAAATGGCATATTACAGGTAATGATGGGAAAGCTTTTTTGTTTTTCTCCAGGGGTGGGTCATGGGGAGAGGGTTTGACTGTTGGTGTCAGAATGGAACTTACATGAGCAAGTTTCTGAAGACAAATTCAGGGGGAATTTCAAGGGTCAGTTCAGAATGGCTGAATCGCAACACACACAGACACATGCTCACATACATACACACATATATATGTATGTATATGTATGTGTGTGTATATATCATTTCGTAAGGATACATTATCCTACGTATTAAAAGGATATCTATCTCTCTAAAAATCCTTGTAAAACTCTACATCTTTCCATTGAAGGTGAACGCTGATTTCCAGTGTAATACAGAACCCTTCCAAGGAAACTCTGCATAATTTTTTGATGAAAATTGGAAGCATTTCTGAGAAGAAATAGATCATCCAGTGTAGTTCTCAACTTTACCATTCTACTCTTCACAGATCCATGGGCCCCTCGTTCTTTTACAGGCTGAGAGGGCAGTGATGAGAGTAAAATTCGCACGGTGAATGTTCCTAGGGCAGCAGCCTAGTGTCGGGCGCTGCGTTGGGCAGACTCCCTGAGGTGACCCAGCTGCCAGCTCAGCCATCCATTTACTCATCTTAAGAAAAGCATTTCTTGAGCATTTCCATGTTGTAGGCACTGTATTATGAAACAACAGACACGCCAAAGGCTTGGAATAGTGTTTGAAAAATACATGATTCAGAACTCTCGGCCAACCATCAACACTACACGAGGTCATCGCCATCTGTCATTCTCAGGGATTGAAGAACTTTGTTGCAAATGATGACACAGTCTGGGTGTGATTCAGGTTCAAATGTCCATTGTTCTCCCAAATAAAGAGCACCTAATTTCAAAAGATGGATATTACTATGGTCTACACAGGTCTTCAATTAAATAGGTGTTTTTTAATATAATGGTTTAAAAACTTCATTAGTTTTAATTACAAAACTACATTTTTTTTGGGTAATATGCCAATAGTATATAGGAATCTAGACAGAAAATTATTCCCCTTCCTTTTCTCCATTCCCAGATGGCTGAGGTCAATAATGCTCCCAATAACTCCACAGATGTTGTCATCTGAGGTAAAATAGAATTTGGGCTCACCAGAGACAGCACCCACTTGCTTGATGCCATCTGTATTTTTATTTGAAGGTAAGTGAGGTTTCTGTACACATGAGGCCAAAGAAGGGCCCACTGATGTAGAGCTGTTCATTGAACTCACGACAGAATCATCTGAGGGGAGTGGGTGAAAATTTCAGGGTGAAGCCTGGGTTTACACTGGTGACTACTGTCCAGCTCCTTGTCCTTTTAATGGAAATCAGTCTTCCTGACCTGACTTGGGAAATGTTGGGACACATTTCTAAGCAGAGGAAATGATGGAGGAAAAGCAATTTTACGAAAGACCACTGAATTTAGAATTAATATCTTTAACCTAATACCACAGAAACCCCAAAGGACCAACATAACAAACACTAAAAGTAACAAAGATCCTAAAATTCAGAATCTGTGTCTTGCATTCTAGAGAACAAAGCTCATATTTTTGTGTTATAAATTACAAGAGATAAGACACACCGTTACTTCAGTCAAAAAAGGAGGAAGGCACCCAGGCCCAGACTAAGCAAGATGTGAGTCTTCTCTAGTGATATAAAGCAAGACTGAAAAGGACTTACGGTTCCTGGGTGTGTGTTTGGCACATGATCATGAAAGGCCTCTTTGTCAGCTACCCTTGGAGAGGCTGAAAGATGGGAGGTTTCCAGGAAAGGCCTGGGGGCTCTGATTTCTTTCTAAGCAAAGAGGGTACTACATCCCTTCAGCTATTTAGCCTAAATCCACTCTCTCTTTCTTTTCCTAGTGTCTTATTTCTCCAATATTCTAAACTTTCTGATGTTGGCCTCCTTCTAGGGTAAGATTAAAGACCAACTGTAAATAAACTGGGGATCCTTGAGCACTGTGTCCTTATTTTACTTATTTTACACCAGAGAAGACAGAACCCAGGGAGGGTAAGTGACTTGTTCAAGGTCACAGAGTTAGGGCATAGGGTTGGTGTCCAGACCTATCCTTTTGTGTCTTTGTTTTATGACTCTCAATGACAACTCTCCATCCCAAGTGTCTGCACAGTGTTTCCTCTTCCTTCAGGGCCAGCGTTAAGTGTATATCACGTCCCACCCTCCTTGGCGAGTCACCTCTTGTCCCACAGGTGACCTCCAGTTTCCAAACTTAGTCTATCTGCAAGAGAGACATCAACCTGTGGCACAGGAGGATCTCAGAGGGACGGGCTGTCAGGAAACTGTTCTTTCTACACCTATGCACCTGGGAGAGCCTCAATTTTCTATATCTCAGCTTCTCCTGAGGGCTCTTTGGCAAGAATAAATGTCCCCTCTTACCTCTTCCCAGTATTAAAGCTTTAGTGCTTAATTTTATCCAGAGGCAAGAGAGAGCAAGAATGGCCAGATTGGTTTCATCATCTTTCATCTAGAGCATGCCTTTACTTCTTTCCTCATAACCAGATTGCATCCTCTATTCTGCCTGTGGCTGTGACTCATCTAACTCTCAGGTCCTCTGACCATAAGCCTCACCTGCCTGTGTGTCCATCTGGCTTCTCGTCATCTATCACTCCAGGCTCATGATACTGTTAGGACAGGAGCACTGTGTTGCCTGAGATGCTGGGAATGTCTTTATTGGATGTGGCATATAGCCGTGCAGAGACCCACAAAGATCAAAGCACCTTCTTTGAAGATCAAACTTGCCCTCTGCCCTTGGGTTGCCCACCCACCTTTGAAAGCCAGAAATGGTCAGCATGGTCTTCTGGTCAAGGGGCAGTAAGGAGAAGAAGAGTGGTCAATAGAAGCCATGAAATAGGTGAAAATCAATCCTCTGATCAGGATATGATGAAAATGGGGAAAGAAGGGAGGCTTCAGAGGAGGCACACCTAAACTTTCTGCACAGGGCTGATGTTTAGGTAGGAGAAAAGGATTTGAAAGCAATATTGAGAGTCCACTTTCACATTGTCTTATTCAAAATAAAAACATCTTTTCGGAACGTTACATCTTCTAGGAACTTTGGTAGGTCCTGGGGATGTAAATGGCAATAAAACAATGTTCTTATCTTTGCTGGGATTTTCTTCTAGTGGTGAGAAAACAAGCAGACAGATTTAAGCCCTCCGAAAAGTTTTATGAGAGAGCTGGATAGCACAAAGGAAGGGAAACTGCCCTTTAGGAGGGCTACTACTATATATAAATCAACACCTCTGAGGCAAAATGAAATTGCAGTCAGATAAATCCTTGTGTGTCCTTAGGGAAGTCATTTCATAAAATGTCATCACCAGGACTCTTCCTTCCTGACCTTCTCCATACCTCAACTTCCTGAGTTGAGTCAGCCTTACAACTCATTCTTCTTTCTTACAATCGGCCGTACAGAACTCACATAAATATACCCCTGGCATTCTTCACACCACACATGGAACCTCAGCACTGCTCAGACAATCCTTATGTGTCTTTTGCCATTGCCACCTCCCCCCCAGCTACTATAGGCCTCTGCACCTTCTTCAAGAATTCCATTTGTCATCTAGCTCCCATTCTTATCAAATAAACCCACCAATGCACTTCCCATATCATTGAAGCAATCAGGTATAAATTCACTTATGCCACCAGGTAGAACTCTATAACATCTGACTATAAAATATGCAAGTTAATATCAATATTTTATCACATTCACCATTGATTTGCCATCATGTGGCTGAGTGTCCCTCCAAAGTTTGAATTTATACAGTTCTTGTTTTGAACCAAAAATGGAGAATGAATCTTTTCTAGTAATCATGCAAGGAGAACATATACTCAGCATTTCATCCACGGTTCTCTGGCCCTTCCACGCAAGAGCTATGCATACTTACCTCTGAATCTGCAAAGGAGTCTCTCAATTTGACACAAATCCATAAATTCCTCTCTGGTTGGTTTAATGATATCTCATGTGCCTATATACCTACTAGCCTAGTGCAAAACAATGTCTCACCCTATCCATACAGAAAAACTGAATTCAACCAAGGAAAGTACTCCAACATGCTCACTGTCACAAAAGGAGTATGTATAGTGATTTGAAGATGTTTCACTGTATAAAAAGTAAATTATAAAAACAAAATTATGAAGCTTGATTTTGAGATGACACTAGAATAAATTATCTTGTCAGGCAAGGGCACTGGAGAAGAAAAGAACAGTGATGGAGAATTAGAAGAATGTAAATGCAGGCCATTACCCGCAGCTACCTGGAGCAGTCAGGCACCCTGGGTGGACGCTCAGACCTCTCCAGCCCATCCATCCCCTATTCCCGCAGAGACCAGACACCTGCTTCCTGTAACTTTCCATTTTGCCAACCAGTGGACACTGCGCTGACCATACCTGAGCAGGTGACCCCCGCGTCCTCAGCATGAATGCAGTTGTACTGCCCCAGGCCCGGCGAAGGGCACTCCCACACGTGGGACTCCTTCCCTGTGCACTTCAGCCCGGCCAGCCAGATGGGCCCCGATCCCATTCCAAAGTAAGCAGAGAACCGGGCGTCCAGGGCCTGTCCACAGCCCAGCTGTCTGCACACCACGTGGGCATCCCTCAGGTCCCATCTGTAGTGACAGATGGTGCCCCAGGAGCCCTGGTGGTAGATCTCCACTCTCCCGGCGCAGCGACTGCCCCCGTCCGCCAGGCGGAGCTGTCGGCTCTCTGAGGAGAGACAGAGCCATGTCAGTGGGGCGTTTACGCAGGAAATGAGAAGGGTTTCTGGTCCTGTGGGACCTCTCACCTGAGCAGTTGGCAGCGCTGTCCTCCGAGGCTGCAGGGGCTGCTGGGTCAGAGGGAGAGTCACTGCACTGGGGCAGCAGCTGGGTCTGGTGTCCTACAGAGAGGGTTAGAGAGCAGGAAAGTGGATTCAACTGGAAATAATCTAGTGAGCATAAAAATAAATAAATAAATAAACTTCAGGAACATCAAAACGCAAAAAAAAAAAAAAAAAAAAAAAATCTAGTGAGCAGTCTGAGATCAAAGCTGTTGCATAGACCCTGTCAGAGTCAACCTTCTGGTTTGTAGAATTCTGCACAGGATCTGAAAAGAGAGAACTGTAAGCGTCAGAATCTCTACCTTGAATAGTCAACAGTGTCTTTCTCTGAGTGAATTCAGCTCAAGAGTAACTGGAATGGCTCAGCAGCTGGATTTATTAATATTTCTTGTAAACCACACGCACACTTCAGTGCCAATGACCTGGAAGATGGGAGGATTAGAGCAAAGGGAATGGCATCAAGAACTGGGGTGAGCTCATCAGAAGCCTCAGACAGCAGCATGAACCCAGGAATAATCAGAATTGTTCCTCTTAGCCAAGTGGTGGCTTACACTTATAGTCCCATAGACTCAGGAGGTGAATTCAGGCGATTGCTTGAGCCCAGGAGTTCAAGACCAGCCTGGGCAACACAGTGAGACCCCTCTCTCTAAAAAGAAAAAAAAAAAGAAAAAGAATTGTTGTTCTTGGTATTGTTATTCAGACTGAAAAAATGAATGAACACTGGGACAGGTCATGGTTTACTTCAGAATATTTCAGTTGGTATTCCAGGATTTAGACTCTAGATCTAGATACTTAATTTAAAAAAATGTGCTCCTCTTTTGAGTAGATTGGGCAACCTCATGTGAGAGATGATGTCAGATGATATTGACATTGACCCAATAACACTGGGAATCATAGACTGATGTTTCTTCCCCCTGTATAATTCTAATCTCTGCTTGGACTTCACATCAGGAGTTGCTATTATTCAATATTTGAACTTTTTTGTTCTCTAGGGGCAATATATGTATTTTTAACTCCACCACAGAGCAGAGATAGGTTATATTCCTGCTCTGTAATCATTTGAACGGACAATTTGTATTATTGTTCTCTTCTTTCTAAACAGAATAACACCATTTGATCCAGCAATCCTACTACTAGGCATCTACCCAAAGGAAAAAAAGACATTCTATAATAAAGACATCTGCACTTGAATGTTTATGGCAGCACAATTCACAATTGCAAAGATGTGGAAACAACCTAAGTGCCCATTAATACATGAGTGGCTTAATAAAATGCGGTATATGTATACCATGGAATACTACTCAAATACAAAAAGCAAAGGTGAACTAGCACCTCTTATATTATCTTGGATGGAATTTGAACCCATCCTTCAAACTGAAGTATCACAAGAATAGAAAAACAAGCACCACATGTACTTGTCATCAAATTGGTACTAACTGATCAACACTAAGGTGCTCGCATGGAAGTAATATTTATCGGGTGCTGGTCAGGTGGAAGGGGGTGTTGGGGGTGGGGAAACGCACAACTAATGGATGCAGAGTGCACTGTATGGGGGACAGGCACACTTGTAGCTCTGGCTTGGGCGAGGCAAAGGCATTATATGTAACCAAAATGTTTGTACCTCCATAATATTCTCAAATTAAAAAAAAATCAGGCCGGGCGCTGTGGCTCACGCCTGTAATCCTAGCTCTTGGGAGGCCGAGGCGGGCGGATTGCTCAAGGTCAGGAGTTCAAAACCAGCCTGAGCAAGAGCGAGACCCCGTCTCTACTATAAATAGAAAGAAATTAATTGGCCAACTGATATATATATAAAAAATTAGCCGGGCATGGTGGCGCATGCCTGTAGTCCCAGCTACCCGGGAGGCTGAGGCAGAAGGATCACTCGAGCCCAGGAGATTGAGGTTGCTGTGAGCTAGGCTGATGCCACGGCATTCTAGCCTGGGCAACAAAGTGAGACTCTGTCTCAAAAAAAAAAAAAAAAAAAAAAAAAAATCATAAATTAGCAAAGAAAAAAAGTGATAAGTAGTTAAGTAATGCCCATCAATGTTTCGCTTTAAGTAAATGATGAAGCAGAGCATCAAACCTAGCACTTTTGCTTCTATGAAGAATAGAGGAGAAATTCACAGCAGGTCAATATTTCCATTAGGTACAACTAGAAAATCTGGAAACTGTAAACAAAGGGAAAAATATATAAAGCATTAGATATTTGTGGAAGCAACATGGACTAAATATACTAAAATCACAAAGAGTAAGATTATTTCAGAGTTTATCCAATGATCTACACCTTCTTTTTCTCTAAGGGAATTTCCCAATTCAGTGCAGGGGCTAATGGCTTAAACTCTGGCTTAGGCAAGGCAGAGGACTGCTGTCTCTTAGAAGCCAGCACAACTTTGGGAGTTGCATGAGGCTAGGATTACAAAATTGGAGACTTGAGGGTCACTATCATATGGCAAGTTTTCTACTTAAATATTTTCCTGGAATTAAAGCTGTGCAGAGGGCAGGAGGCCAAAGAACTACATCAAACACCTTGGAATTCAGAGTAGATACTCCCTCATTCCCTTGGTGCCAAGCAACCAAAAATGCACAGACTCAGCCCTGAAACTGAATTGATAGCTAGTTGACCACCCTGAAAGCTCATTCCATAGGAACAGAGGCAAATAAGAGTGGACTGAGTCAGTCTAGACTTGTTCCAGTTCAGTTCTGGGTTGGATGTAGTTGTTTGGGTGATTGGCACACCCGCCTGCCTGGAAGAACGAAAGATGAATTCTGGAGAGAGAAAAATGGCGGAGTAGGGGTGCCCTCCTGGCTCTCTGCTCCCAGAGCGAAAGGTGAAGAGGGCGGATAGCCACACTCGAGCAATCCGCACTTCCACGAGACCAGCTTCACAAGCCTGCAGACATCCAACAGGAAATGGTGGGATAAGACCATTTACAGCCTAAAGCAAAGGTGAACCGATCATTCTTCCGCAAAACTCGGGGATTCGGAGGCACACATCAGGGAGGGAGCGAGGCGCGGCTTAAGCCGCTGCCGGCGGGCAGTGGCGCCAGCCCTACCCGGTGCTGAGAAACACCCCCTCCCACACCGAACTCCACTCCCACGTACGCCGGGAGGTGCCTGAAGTTGGTGAGAAGTGGCAGCGCGGGACTAAGCCGTGTGGAGAGGAGACTAGAGCAGGGAACGCGCTGAGTCACCAGAGCACACGGCGGCCGCAGTTTAAGGCGGGGGAGGGTCCGCGCGCAGCAACCGCTCTCCGCACATCAGGAACCAGAGCCCGCTCGGCATTTCCCTGCAGAACACTTCCAGGTCAAGGTTAAGGGGAGTTTACACAGAAGGAGGCTTTGACTTTGGATATAGAGGAGGTTTGGGATAGCACTGAGAGGTCAGCGTGCGCAAAGTTAGACTCCTCGATCCATTAGGACCCCCCTCCCTCTGCCCCTCCGGCACCACCGCTCCGCCCCTGCATTCCGGCGCTGACTCGGCATTCCAGTGCTGACTCGGCATTCCAGCGCTGACTGGGGCTCGGGGTTTGGAGAGGAGGCGCAGAGAAAGTGCTGGTACGCGTTGCTGCTCCACCAATTTGATATTGGACCATCACTTGCTGCACAAGTGGCACTGACTCTGTGCTCAGAGAGTGGACCCTGCCTGGACGGGGCAGTGCTACAGGGGAGATTGCCCTTGGCGGATTTAAGGCAGAGAAACATTGCCTTCCACACTCTCCTGCGACCCGGAGCCCCGCCCTGGGCTCCAAAGTCTCTGTCCCAGCCTTGGGGGTGGAGCTGAGACAGAAACTGTTCTCATTCCTGCCGCTTATCTCCACCTGGGTAATTAAAGAGACAAAAGGCAGGGATAGGTGGGTCGCATTGACTGCCTGCCGGCCTGCTTTTGGTCAGACTCTCTCTGCACAGGTCTCCTGCGCGCTGTGCCCAGAGTGTGGAGCCCGCCTGGGCAGAGCTGGGCCTTGCAGGAGGCAGCCGTTAGTGGTTATAAGGCAGAGATATTTTACGACCCCCACATCCGGGGATTTGGGGCTAGGCCTTTGGCTCCAAAGTTTGTATCCCCGCCTTGGGGGCGGAGCCGAGATAGAAACTGCTCCCGTTCCTGCCGCTTATCTCCACCTGTGGAATTAAAGAGACAGAACACGGGGCCTGGTGGACCTGGCTTCAGGACAATCTCTCACTGCACAGGTCTCCCGCGCTCTGTGTCCAGAGTGCAGAACCTGCCTGGGCAGGACATACTCTCGAAGGAGGCTGCCCTTAGCGGTTATAAGGCACAGAGACTTTAAGTCTACCACCGTCCTGTGTCTTGTGGCTGAGCCTTATGCTCCAAAGTCTCTGCCCCCACTTTAGGGGTGGAGCTGAGATAGGAACTGCTTCCGTCCCTGCCATCTATCTCCACCTGTGTAATTAAGGAGGCAGAAGACGGGAGGCCGCCGGAGCAGCCCGGAGACCAGCAGGAAGGGTAGGGTAATTGGCTGTTTCCCCTCCACTACATCTCGGACTGCTGGCTCCCCAGCAGGTAGAGAGACCTGCAGACACCAGCCCAACGACGGCTGCCGCCAGAGAGCAACACCACCTACTGGCTCAGAAACTAAACAAGACATGTGAATACCCAAACAAAAACCTAAAGGAAAGAAACAACAACTGAGCAAAATGGGAAGAAATCAGTGAAGGAACTCCAGAAATATGAAGAAACAAACGGAAAACACACCCCCAAAGAGGAGCACCAGCCCCTTAGAAACAGACAACAACCAAAACCTGGCTAACTAAAATGCAAAGAGAATTTCGAATATGCATAAGAACACCACCGACCTGCAACAACAACTCCATAACCAACCAAAGAAACCACAAAAAGCCTCCAGGATACTGAACAAAGTCACTAAAGGATCGACACAGGTGAAGCAGAAAACTTTAACCGAGTCCTGGAGATGAAGAATCAACTCAGGGAATACAAAATACTGTGGAAATCTCAAAGCAGGGTAGATCAAAAGAATGAAATAATCGCAGAGCTGAAGAAAACACCTCAATAAAAAATCAGTCACAGAGATCAGAGCAAGAAACAAG